AAATTATTGCATACAACTATTCACTTGCCTTATTCGGCAAGAAAAGAGTTGCTATTTAAGCCAAAATCACGAGTTTTACCTGTTCATCATGACATATGTATTAATGAAATCATTAAACAAGCAATTTTGAATCATTAACAGATTGTTGTTAGCAGATATCCAAGAACTAGCTACAAGCAGTATTAAAACAGGGAAGTGTTTTTGGGTATGCCCAAATGAGATAAATCTGTGGACTAAAATCACAAGGGTATTAAAAGAGGTCAACATCAAAGCTGCTTTCATAGAAAACCTGGAAGCTTTCTACAACAGATGGGAACATAAAAAGTCTGGGCTGAATGGTACTGCCGTTGATACTGGCCATGTAGTCAGAAACTGTAAGGCTGGAGATGATGTCCTGGTAGTCAGTAAATGGGGGGCTGATAGTGCTGTCCTGGGAGACAGTAATGGTGAAGTAATGGTTGGGCATGGGAATGCAGGATCGAGTTCTGGCCAAGCCACAGTTCTATTAATGATTTAAAATCACTTATTTCGTGATTTCTTTAATATATAGACTGCTTGTGAAGGCTGGTACCCCAAACAAAATGAGGTTGAAATTAGTCTCTGAGGCTACACGACCATGTATGTCCTTGTATCAGTGAAAACACTCAGTACAGCTGAACGCCTGGTGTTTAAGGATTTTTAATTAAGTGGAAAGAGGGATGCATACTTTGTTCGGTTCTCACATGACTGGGCATAGGATAGCAGGATCGAGTCCTGGCCAAGCCGCAGTTTTGTTAAATGATATATATGTTGTGCCGAATAGGTAAAACTTGCGGTTTTGACTTAAATAGCAACGCTCTTCTTGCCGAATAAGGCAAGCGAAAATTTGTGTATGCAAAAATTTCGCAAAAATCATTCTGAACCTAACGAAAAAAAATATATTTCATTGTGTTTGTTTATTCATAAATTATTATAAACTTCTCTAAAATATATTTAGTTGGATTATGCTAAATTAAGGCGTCTTGTCAATTTGCAAGAACTCATTTAAAATTCAGTCCTTTCTAAAATTTTCTCTTATACATTTAAAGTTACATTTTTACATTTACGTTAATATAAAAATTAATGATTTTCTTTTACCAAAGCAACCTTAGGAAACTCACCTAACTTTATTATAACAAGTGTAATTTAATCCACTGGACCATACAATCCTTAAGAGTAGTGCATCCAACAGAACTGGATGTTGTACTTGCTACAAAAGGACATACGATGGTGTGGATGACTCTAGGCTAATTTCATTCTAGTCCCTGTTAGGTGTACTAGTACAGCGATCAGTATTTTATATTATTGTGCTCACGAACGAGTGGTATTGATCAAGAAAGTACAACATCCAGTTCTGCTGGATGCACTACACTTAAGGATTGTATGGTCAAATGGATTAAGGCATCATGAGTTTTTGCTCACCATGAGGCAGGCCAAAGAAGCATAGGTTCGAGTCCTTGGCTAGTTGCAGTGTTGTTATTGATCAATACCAGTCATTCGTGGGCACAGTAATAAAAAATACTGCTCGTTGTACTCGTACACCAAACAGGGACTAGAATGAAATTAGCCTAGAATCATCTACACCATCGTATGTCTTTGGGTAGCAAGTACAACATCCAGTTCCACTGGATTAAGGCGTCATGAGTTTTCGCCCACCATGAGGCAGGCCAAAGCAGCAACCACCCAGGGAAGTACTACCGTCCTGCCAGATGACTGTGAAACAGCAACCTGTAACTGTTTTACATGATGGTAGGATTGCTGGTGTCTCTTTCTGCCTCATAAACATGCTGGATAACAGGTATATCTTGCTACTCCTACTTACACTTAGGTCACACTACACAGGCATGCACATGCTTATATATCCATACACACATCTAGGTTTTCTTCTTTTTTCTAAATAGCTCTTGTTCTTCTTTATTTTCTCTATTCTCCATGGAGAAGTGGAAAAGACTCTTTCCTCCGTAAGCCATGCGTGTCGTATGAGGCGACTAAAATGCCGGGAGCAATAGCTTAGTAACCCCTTCTCCTGTAAACATTTACTGAGAAAGGGAAGAAGAAAAACTTTATAAAGCTGGGATGTTTGAATGTGCGTGGATGTAGTGCGGATGACAAGAAAGAGATGATTGCTGATATTATGAATGAAAAGAAGTTGGATGAACCATACCACGGAAGGGGATAGAACCCGCGATCAGAGAGTCTCAAAACTCCAGACCGTCGCAATCGTATCATTACGATTTCGTGAGACGAGTGAAGTTGGATGTCCTGGCCCAAAGCAAAACAAAGCTGAAGGTGGTAGGCGAGTTTCGGTGGGGAGAAACAAATGGGATTAAATCAGGAGTATCTGAGAGAGTTAGAACTAAGGAAGGGGTAGCAATAATGTTGAAGGAACAGTTATGGAAGGAGAAGAGGGAATATAAATATGTAAATTCAAAGATTATGTGGATTAAAATAAGTGTTGGATGTGAAAAGTGGGTCATAATAAGCGTGCATGCACCTGGAGAAGAGAGGAGTGTAGAGGAGAGAGAGAGATTTTGGGAGATGTTAAGTGAATGAATAGGACCCTTTCAACCAAGTGAGAGAGTAATTGTGGTAGGGGACATAAATGCTAAAGTAGGAGAAACATTTAGAGAGGGTGTGGTAGGTAAATTTGGGGTGCCAGGTGTAAATGATGGGAGCCCTTTGATTGAAACTTGTATAGAAAGGGGTTTCGTTATGATACTATGATACTCCAATACTGAAACTATGTACTGTGCCAAAACAAAAGCATTCACATTGCTAAACTCACAAACTAGTATTTAGTCACTTAGCCATAATACTAACTTACCTCATAATTTGTAATATTTTAAAATAAAGAATTAAACTAAGTCTGCCCGAAATGCCTAGCCATGCTAGGCGTTCTAGTGGTACACTCTGTAATCATTATTTAACTACATGTAAACCACACAACAACCAAATTCTGTAAATTCAACATTGTAATCTTCATAGAGAATAAACTTTGAATAGGTAATACACATTTTAGGAAAAAGAGGAAAAATAAGTATATAAGACATGATGTAGGGCATAATGACAGTAGCTTGTTGGACTATGTATTGGAAGATAAAAGATTGTTGAGTAGACTTCAGGATGTACGTGTTTATAGAGGGGCCACAGATATATCAGTTCATTTTTCAGTTGCAGCTACACTGACAGTAAAAGATAGATGGGGTACAAGGAAAATAGAAGCATCAAGTAAGAGGGAGGTGAAGGTTCATATACTAAAAGAGAAGGCAGTTAGGGTAAGATATAAACAACTATTGGAGGACAGATGGCGTCGAAGATGTATGGGGTAGGTTTAAAAATGTAGTGTTAGAGTGTTCAGCAGAAGTTTGTGGTTACAGGAAAGTGGTGCGGGAGGGAAGAAGAGCGATTTGTGGAATGTTGATGTAAAGACAGTATTAAGGGAGAAAAAGTTAGCATATGAGATGAATTTACAAAGAAGAAGTGATGTAAGGAGGGAATAGTATATGGAGAGAAAAAGAGAGGTTAAGAGAGTGGTGAAGCAAAGTAAAAAGAGAGCAAATGAGAGAGTGGGTGAGATGTTATCAACAAGTTTTGTTGAAAATAAGAAAAAGTTTTGGAGTGAGATTAACAAGTTAAGGAAGCCTAGAGAACAAATGAATTTGTCAGCTAAAAATAGGAGAGGAGAGTTATTAAATGGAGAGTTAGAGGTATCAGGAAGATGGAGGGAATGTTTTCAGGAATTGTTAAATGTTGACGAAGATAGGGAAGCTGTGATTTCGTGTATAGGGCAAGGAGGAATAACATTTTGTAGGAGTGAGGAAGAGCCACATGTTAGTGTGGGGGAAGTTCGTGAGGCAGTGAGTAGAATGAAAGGGGGTAAGGCAGCTGGGATTGATGGGATAAAGATAGAATGTTAAAAGCAGGTGGGGATATAGTTTTGGAGTGGTTGATGCTATTATTTAACAAATGTATGGAAGAGGGTAAGGTACCTAGGGATTGGCAGAGAGCATGCATAGTTCCTTTGTATAAAGGCAAAGGGGACAAAAGAGAGTGCAAAAATTATAGGGGGATAAGTCTGTTGAGTGTACCTGGTAAAGTGTATGGTAGAGTTATTATTGAAAGAATTAAGAGTAAGACGGAGAATAGGATAGCAGATGAACAAGGAGGCTTTAGGAAATGTAGGGGGTGTGTGGACCAGGTGTTTACAGTGAAACATATAAGTGAACAGTATTTAGATAAGGCTAAAGAGGTCTTTGTGGCATTTATGGATTTGGAAAAGGCGTATAACAGGGTGGATAGGGGGACAATGTTGCAGGTGTATGGTGTAGGAGGTAGGTTACTGAAAGCAGTGAAGAGTTTTTACGAGGACAGTATATTTGTTTCCATTGTTGTGAAGTTTGTAGTCAGATCACAGGTCTGGTAAAATTTAAGAGTGACACAACAGTCAATGGAGAATTTTGTTACCCCAACTTATAAGCCTCATCAATTCCATTCAGTATAAATGAATGTAATTTATACAGTCGTAGACTTTTATTACAGTCATTATTCTTTTTTATATATATACATAAAGCTGAATTCTATTATATTTCATTCAACAATGATACAACTTTTTCAGCCTTTTGAAAATAAATTAGGTATTAAAATCTCTCACGCAAAGAGAACATTATTCTCTTGTTCCACTCTAGTATTATGTTTATATTATAATCTTAGTTCAAGACTTTTCTAGTTTCACCAGAATAAAATTATTTCTCTTTGTACAGGAAATTTTATAGACACAACCATCAGCATTTTGGGTGAAATTCTTAATCTCTTGTTTTTACTGTATCAAGATTTTTAAATACTACCTGAATTTTGAAGTTCTAGAACTGAGAAGATATATCAAGAAACTTTTCAAGATGTGACATAACTAAGAATAAAAAATAGAAATTATTCCTTTAACATTTATATATATTTGGCAATATTTATCTTTTTTATGTTTTCAGGTATGCACGATGCTACTTCAATAGTGTTACATTGTCAGAAGAATCCCAGGACAGTGTCTGATCAGTGTCAGGAACGTCAGTGGTGGCCCCTTGTAGCACCACCCTAGCAGTGCCCCCAGACCGCTAAAACACGGCACAACATTACCATCTCGGTAGTGTGACCAACAAGAAGACCACAACATTACCGTCTCGGTAGTGTGTCAGTACCAACAAGAAGACCACAACATTACTGTCTCGGTAGTGTGTCAGTACCAACAAGAAGACCACAACATTACTGTCTCGGTAGTGTGTCAGTACCAACAAGAAGACCACAACATTACTGTCTCGGCAGTGTGTCAGTACCAACAAGAAGACCACAACATTACTGTCTCGGTAGTGTGTCAGTACCAACAAGAAGACCACAACATTACTGTCTCGGTAGTGTGTCAGTACCAACAAGAAGACCACAACATTACGGTCTCGGTAGTGTGTCAGTACCAACAAGAAGACCACAACATTACTGTCTCGGTAGTGTGTCAGTACCAACAAGAAGACCACAACATTACGGTCTCGGTAGTGTGTCAGCACCAACAAGAAGACCACAACATTACTGTCTCGGTAGTATGTCAGTACCAACAAGAAACCACAACTATTACGGTCTCGGTAGTGTGTCAGTACCAACAAGAAGACCACAACATTACTGTCTCGGTAGTGTGTCAGTACCAACAAGAAGACCACAACATTACTGTCTCGGTAGTGTGTCAAAATAAACATTAAGACCCTAACATTACCGTCTCATCAGAGCATCAAAATAAACAGCAAGACTACAACATTACTTTCTTAGTTGTGTGTAAGGACCAACACTGAAACTACAAAATTAATGTCAGTAGTGTTTAAGGACCAGCAACTTGACCACAACATCGTTATCTCGGTAAATGATGTCTCTTCTATCTCTTATATAAACATCTTCATATTTTTATTAGAACTGTCACTTGTCACCAAACAAGAAGTATTTATTTCTCTATGTATAATTATCTACTGTTATTTGATGTTAGATCTCTGATAGAAGATGAGTTCTGAAAGTGATAATATTCTCTCTCTTGCTGGACTTGGTCGTCCATTTCGTCTTGGGATGCTTTACGACTGTACGAAGGATCAATTAATTCCGGGAAGAACACTCTGGGACATATCAACACTAGAGAAAAGAGTAGTTCAACCAAATAACTCCTCTGACTTCAAAGTAATTACAAGTGACTCTCTGGAAGACAAGGCTTCAGCTCTTAATGTAAATGGAAATCTGTAGCTGAGTTTGCTCTCAGGTATGCTAGAAGTTTCAGGTTCTGGAAAATACCTGAGCAACGAAAAGTCTTCTAACAAACATGAGAGAGTTACTGTACAATACAAGTGTACCACCAGGTCAGAGCAAATGACGATGGATCAACTTGGGCCAGGTAAAGTGCAGTACCCAAACGTAATTAAGGAAGAAACTGCAACACACGTAGTCACTGAAATACTCTATGGAGCACATGCTTTCTTTGTTTTTGAGAGAGATTGCTCCTCGTCTTCACATGATGAGGATATTCATGGTGCTATGAAAGTTCTGCTGAGCAAAATACCAAATATGTCAGTTGGTTTGAATTTGAAAGGAGCTTTATCTGACAAGGAAATAAATGAAGTAGAGAATTTCAAGTGTACATTCATTGGAGATTTTCTTCTCTTAGAAAATCCTTGCACCTATAAAGATGCAGTTCGAGTGTACAAGGAACTACCAGCACTCTTAGGAGATGACAAACAAAATGCTATACCAATCAAGGTTACACTGTATCCTCTGACACGTCTGGATAGTAAAGCCAGTAAGTTAGTACGAGAAATCAGTGAGAGTCTGACCTCTAAGACAGAAGAAATCTTTGAAGGTCTTCAAGAGTTGACTTTAAGGTGCAATGATTTAGTAAATTCTTCTGTTGCAAAAGCAAATAAACCCATGCAAAAAGAAATAGCTAAATTTAAATCACAGATTACGATTTACAAACGTGAACTGCAGAAGCAACTGTCAGTGTTGTTGCCCCGTATCAGAGGCGGCGGTGTTGAAGAATCCCTTCTGGCAGACCTTCTCAATAAAAACGAAACATCTCCATTCAATTACTGTGAACTAGAAGCTTGGGTTCAAGATAAAGAAAATCAAGTAAAAATTCTCAGTGACTATAATAAATTACTTGCAGAAATAAAGCTGGCCTCAGATCTTGGTTATTTGAAGTCATTGATCATGAATCCTGAGAATAATAATAAATATATTCTCTGTTTGAGATTACTTCTGCCAAAAAGCAACTTTCATCTTTCTAAACTGGAAACGTTTAATAGAAATGAATATGACTATGCAAGTGATCATACGACCACTGAGAGGAACCTTGAAGATAACATCGCTTCAAGAAATGACCAACATCAGAAAATTTCCATGATGGAACAAGCCATATTATTTAAAGACTACTTTGTCTCTAACAGAGAAAGTAATGAAACTGTATTTGTAGTGGCTATGGATTGCTCTGACACATTAGACTATCAGGCTAATATAGAGTGTTACAGGTGTGGTCGTCTCTTAAATAAGGATTATTTACTTCCTTCAGCACCTGGCAAACCTCAGGTTGAACAAAGTACTCATAACACTGCTACTATTCACTGGACATCGCCAAAATTTGGAGCATCGACTGTACAAAAATATGAAATACTATGTCAGCGGCAAACAAATAGAGACAATCGTCCAGTGAGCTTCACAACAGGTCCAGACACTCTCAGCTTCACTGTCCCAGAGCTTGATGTTAACTCTGTTTACCAGGTTAGTGTAAGGAGCTGGTGCGAGGTCGGAGTGGGTCCCACCAGTGAGACCAACATGGTCTCCATTAGACCAACCAATCTTCCAGCAGCATCAGAACTTGTGCATGAAGGAACTCCGGCCATCTACTTGCTTAAAGCTAATTTAGTTTTAGGCCAAAAAAAAATATATATGATGAAGAAATATGAACTATGAGCACCATAGTAGACTGCCCATGAGAAAAGTAATTTTATTAAATCTACACACACACACACACACACACACACACACACACACACACACACACACACACACACACACACACTGTTGCAACCCCTGAATGGGTTCCAATGATTATTATGTATATATATAATTATTATCTTTTCATATAATTTTATATTGCTTATATTTGCGATAATAGCTAAATCGTAAATATATTGCTTTATATTATTATTATTTGACTTAGTTAAATTTTGTGAGGTAGCATGTAACATATGTGCTCAGTTCAAGTCTTGATTGTCTAACTACTGTAATTATCGCTCTTTGCTCGTTATTCTGCCGGCTTCTGTTTCTGAGCTGCAGCTGTACACGGAGCTATCACGTGATCGAGGGGGGGTGTCCTCACCTCGCCTGAAGTATTCAGTCTGGTCTAGACTCTCTTGGTGGTTGGACAGATTGTCTGTCTCATTATTCTTGTTAGTTCTGTAGAACTCTGTTCACAGAACATTGTATAGACTTAGTGATTTTCGACGTTGTACTGAGGTTGTGTGTCGCATAGACACTGAGCAACTCAGGTCCTGAGCTGTAGCTTCTGACCTAAATTGTACTGGTATCTGTGTATTATCACAGTCGGGGATTTTCTTATGCTGAACTTAGATTCAGTAGTATGGAAGATGTGTGACTTTTGTGGAGGATCTGCAGATGGTCCCTACTTAGTGTCGTTATATTATCTCCTTGTTCCTGATTCTGTGTTGCAGTTGCTTGTTGTATTGCTATTAGGCTTACCATTCTTTTTTGTTCAAGCAGACTGTTCTGGTTGCCAGTCGGTCAAGAAGTTAGTTTATGTAAGGACTTTGTCAGTCACTTGTTTAAGTCTAGTCGAGTCGTGAGACATAGCGAACTACTTAGAGCACTTACACACATATACACAAACTTACTTGTACATATTTGTAATATCTTATTAAATGTTAATGTACCAGATGGTACTTAAGAATTATAAATGTGATGCTAGAAGGGCAGTCCTTTCTAGTATTCACTGGAGATCTCTAAGCTTTTAGAATAGCGTTTTTTGTAACAAATGGGGGCCTGTCCGGGAGCTCTTGATCCAAGGTGTTGGAGAAATTGTCCAGTTTGACATATTAGTAACTCTATGTTCAAACACTTTGAGTACTTTCCTAATCTGAAGACTTTGAGTTTAGTCTTGTACAACATACCAGGTGGATGGATGTACCTGACTGAGTCTCTTGATCCAAGGAGATGGAAATACTATTTAAGAGCTCTAACTCTAAGATATCCAACACTAAAATTCCTATTAGGATTATAGTTTCCCATAATCACTCTCTCGTAGTACATTTATTTTCGTGATGTATGCCACAGTGAAACAGTTAATTGATACTCTGACTTTGTCTGAGTTGAGTACATTAAAACTTCAGACGTGTTGGCGAGTAGCCAAATATCTCGGTGTGATGTATAACAGGATTTACACCGCAGAAACTGTCAGAGCATTAATTAAAGATATATTGTTTCCTGCTTCTACAGAGATGTCTGATTATGATTAGATTCAGAAAGCCTAGTGTCACAATTAGGAAGTATGACTCTATATGATTACTTAGAAGAAAGAGCAACTATGGCAAAAGTGTCTGAGCCTAGTGAACCTTCGCTCACACCTTCCCGCCTCACTGACACAATATACAGTGTAGCTGGTAGGATGATGCAGCCCCATACTATTACAGTGTATGATACACCTGTATCTACTTATCCTAGACCAGATCTAGACTCTCAAGGGATGGTTGGACGAGGTGCCCGACCTAAGGAACTTACTCCTCCATTACCCACTGGTCCTATCTCTCAGGAACAGTTTGAGAGGTTTGAACGCCTCATTATGTTGCAGACTGCACAAATAGAGGCACAGAGGAAATTGAACGAAGAAGATTTCCAGAGAGAAAATGTTCGTCTTGGAAGACAACAGACTGATAGATCACAGGATCCATTTAATGTGCAGAAAGCTGCTTCTATGGTTCCTAAGTTTTTTGAAAGTGACTTAGACACCTATTTTGATGTGTTTGAGAACCAGGCACGTGCTATGAACTGGCCACATAAGCACTGGGCTACCTTGCTGCACACAGCTTTGACAGGAAGAGCTCAAACTTGTACTGCTGTTTTTAACCATTGCCATGTACATTATTATGACCTGTCAAGAAAACTATTCTAGAGACATATAACTTGTTGCCTGTAAGTTATCAACATGCATTTTGTACGTTACAACGACGACAAGATCAAACTTGTGTAGAGTTTGCTCGTGAGAAAAAAGTTGCATTTGAGAGGTGGTGTAGGTCTGGCAAGTGTAACAACTACGACAGCCTTATTCAGTTGTTACTACATGAAGAGTTTAACAACTGTATGTCTGCTGATATACAAGAATATCTGATCGATCATACTACCTCGGATATTCTGGAAACTGCAGCATTAGCAGACAATTACGATATTTCTCACAAACTTGTACATACTAAAAAACTGAGAAACAAGGTAACTAAAAGTTGTCCTAGAAGTTTTTTTTTTTTTTTTATTTAAAAAACACAGTATACATGTATGTTATACATAATTGACTTAAAACACAGTATACATGTGTGGTATACAAAATTGATTTTAAAACAAGAACCGTGAAAACTTTATGTAAGACAACAATATATATAACTAAACAGAGAACAACCGGAACATACCTTAAACACCAAATAAATATATAACCAAACCTGACAGTCTTATTCATATTGTGTATGAAATTTTAATACAAAGAATGTCATATAAACTAATTTCATTGCACATTCAATGGTACAATGGATATATAAAAATTATATACAAAAACAATATCAAGAAACTAATACATTGCACAAATCACTAGTACTATGGTTATATTAAATAACTATCAGAAACCTACATGACTTGAAAATTGAAACATGGTGTTCTTTATTTTTGGTTTTTGCATGTATTGAAAAAGGGAAACAAAAATATACAAAAAGCCTTTAATAATTAACATAAGACTTTTACAGATCTAGAATGTATGATTACATATGAGGAAACACTAAGACACCTAATACCCCGACCAACCCCCTATTTAGTTTCTCAAACTAATTATAAACCCACAAAAAAAATTACCTTACTTGTATACAGTGATATTAGTAAAGGTGCTTAATTGAACATCAGCTGACTATATGCACCATAAATGATAAAAAAAATATATGTGATATCACTGGGTGTCAGAACAATATATCCCACAAAAGCTGCTGCCCAAGGAACTTAAATGCTCAAAGATTACAATATAGGACATTATACATCTCAAACCCCCCCTCACATAGGTGACCTCTGCTACATATTCGAACAATCTTAGGCCAATGAAACTTTGCCCTTCACCAAAAGTTTACAATCATCTCCAAAGGTCTGCTTATGAACATTCCCCTTAAAGGGCAGTATAACGTGTACTTTTAGCGGTGGATATCAGCGAGGCTTCTGCTTACAAATGACAAACAAAACCATACGGGAATCCCAGGAAAGACCCAAAACAAACTATTTTCACCAAGCCCCGGCCATAGTTGGGAACTGGTTCAGCCTTGCAGAGGCTGGAAACATATACTGAAATGTTGCTTTTTATCTGTATTATCAAGATGCATGACCATATTAGGATTAATCCAAGATCTCATTTTCCACACAACGCCACAACCCAAATACACACACAGACGCACGGAACCATTCATAATACATACACTTTCACCTCCCCAAAACCCGCCCCTACCCTGAAGTCTCGAACCCACCTTTTTGGTGCTACCACGGGGGGGAGTCCAGCCCCCCATTGCCTTACCCCACCCCCCCATTTTGCAGCCCTTGAACAGTAAGACTTCGATAGTTTGCAGGAAAACTATTATCCCAACTTCTACCATATATATTTTATTTCTGCAAAAACGTTCTGTAGTATCTGCCGCAATTGCCCTGATCCTAAACTGTTGCCCCGGGTTTTCCTCCCGCATACCCCACGATATATAAAGAAAATCAGCCACCACGTACATTATTGCTCTTCGTACCTCACTTGATACTCCGCTAACGTCTAATGTTAAGGCTCATAAGGTTGAGATAGTTCTCCCACTAAGAAAATCAAAAACCCGCCCCAACCATGAACGAACTTTGTCCAAGGTATCACAAAAAGTAGACAGCATGAAAGCTTTTTTTCTTCGAGACTGCAACGTAAGCAATCCGCCTCCCTTACCAAACCCATCCTATTTAAGACCGACTTTGATGCTAAAATCCCCATGACAAACCTGTACATCAATTCACGAACCCTTGGTGCCAACTTAAGTTTACAAAATCCGTCCCATTTTTTCCCCCCCCCCAAATTAAACAGGGGAAAAACAGAACAATCCCGTACAATTTCCCTACGACAAAAATATGCTGACCATTTGCCCCCCCCCAATTCTTTTGCGCTTTTTCCCCAACTTTAATAACAAACGTAGCATTTCCTCACACTCGATTAATCCCCTGCTGCTCCACCATTTACGCATGTCGATCATTACCCGACCCACCCGGATGCCCTTCTCACCCGCCCGCCCTGAGGAACCGCTGCTTAACATAGAGGGCCTTCACCCTTGGCCCCAAAGCCAGGAGACCTAAACCCCACGGCGAACATGGGTCATGACAACCTCCTGGCGAACCAAGCCCTTCCGAAACCCCAAACATAACGTAAGACCCTTCTCTGGCAGTTCCTGAATATCCACATCTCTTAAAGGGTACACCTCAGCCACGCCCCATACTTTACTATAAACAAGTGTATTAAACCACTACTGTCCTCTGCTGCAAAGATACATCCCCAGCTTTTTAGCCCCCGAAGTCGATCTAAAGCCTTATTAACCACCAATTCTGATTTCACCCTTGGGCCCCTCCCTCTCATCTGCCATGTACACGATAACCACATATTCTAAGTTGCACCACGACTGACCACCCATACCTTTCGCCCAACCCCCCCCCCACCCATTTTACCCACCTCCAATAATTCGTTTTTGCTTTATTGACGCACATGCCAGACTCTGTCCCATAAAACTCAACCATCCATCCCCACGATCCGCAAATCC